CTCTTTCTTTTTTTCTCTCTCTCTTTCTGACCTCTTTTCGCAGAAAGACTGTAACAAATAGGTAAAAGAAATACATAAACTGCAGTGGCGGAAATGGAGGTATTCATGTTTTAATGTCTTAAATACAGTATACCAAGATTTTCTAACAATTTAAGATAAAAAAAAAAAAAAATGAATTATTTTTGTAACGAAAATAAATGAACTACAATTTTAAAATTATAATTTATAAAGTATTCGTTAAAGTGCTAAAATTATCATTTTGAACGATATTTTTTTCAATTTAGAATTGAAGAAGAGAAATTTCACGTATCTTAAATTAATTTTATTTTTAACAAAATATATCGAAATAGTTTTCCAATTTATTTATTTTATCATATTTTCACAATAAAAGTAATTATTGTTTTAAAATTAATTCTAGGGATTAAGTTGAAAGAAATCGTTAATTAATAGCTTGAGGTTAAAGCTCTAATACTTATAATAACAAAAGTAATTCCGTTCACGGAAGCAGGTTTATTTCTCCGAAGGCTTGTAAAATAAAATTCATGCTTATCTGTAAGTGATAAAATCCGTGTTACCACTCATTCGAGGAACCTCTTCTCATTTATACTTGCTGGAAATCTTGTCGATAATGAGGCCAACTACAGTATCATTCATAAGTGGTGACTGTTCAATTAACTCAAAATTTTATCGTGTTATTCTCTTTATTCTCCTTTCGTTTTATTCTACACTTTTGTTCGAATCGTATTTTTATACTAATTTTTTTTATTTCGTAATTATTTATTTATATTTTGCAAACAATCACAATATTCATAAAATCCAAATCTTAATTATAAATATTACGCGTGTAAACTTCAAAAAAGTTAATATTAATTAAAAAAATACCGTTTTAAAAAGAAAAATGTAATTACATACTTGTTTTTTTTTTTTTATCACTTTAAATCTTACAGATTATCAATATTAGTAAGGGAATTAAGTTTAAAAATAATTTGTTACGTTTTATAACCTAAGTTTGGATATCATATATTTTTCGTTTAATAATAAAATATTATACGCGTATTTGTTTGTAAAATAAAAATCTTTATTAAAGATTAAAAATAAGATTTAGATATATAATATTTGCTAATATCGATAAATCGTTCGTGAAATGAGCTGTATAACCGAAGGACCGTAGAGGCATCGATGAAGTTGACCAGTAAAATTAGCATTCGCTACGACGAACTGTATTTCGCCGGCGTATAGGTCATCAGCCCAGTTCGTCGTTTTCCAAGAAGACGAATTTCTAGTCGGACCCCTTGGAACAGGGTAGATCCCAAACCCTTCTCTCTCTCTCTCTCTCTCTCTCGATTTATGATGCTTTCGAACCACCTTATGACTTTGAACGTGAATCGTAAAACTCGTTCGTTGCTTTTTCTTCGCCAAATTTATGCACTTTTTCATTCCTCTTCTGCTACACATACATAACATAATAATCCGTTTATTCTTTTAATTTTTTATCACAAATTCCTTCTTCGATTATTTTCTTCTCCTTTTTTTTTTTCTCGACTCTTTTTTTTTTCCTTTCTTCTTATTCGTTAAAATATTTTAATAAAATTATGTTATTATGTTAAATTGTTACAATTTTATATCATTTTATTAAAAGATTTGTTATATGTCGAATATAGACATCCGTGCGAATCTCGAAAATAAATATAATATCTATGAAAGAAAAATGTTCTAATTGATAAATAAGCAAAAAGTTTCCAAGAAAAGAAACGAAATCCTTTTTTATAATATCGTTGATGCATTCGTAAATCTTGAATTCCTGTGATAGTACAAAAAAAAAAAAAAAACATTCTCTTAAATTTCTTCTAATTTTGTGGCCCTCCATCAGAGTCTCGTTCTGTTTCCTCAAATAAAACTACAACGTCCAATTCTGCGAAGTCCTCCTTGCTCGAAGAAAGATTTTTCTCTCCTTCTCTCTCTTTCCACCGTTTCCACTCCCCTTGGCATTCCAACGACAGGAGAGAACAGATGGTCGAGGAAGAATAAAGATCAGGTTCACTTTGAGTGGTAAAACAAAAAAAAAAAAAAAAAAAAAAAAATCAAAATTAATAAATAATCGGAATTTTTTTTTTTCTTTACAATATTCACGCTTCCCTTTTTTTTTTTTTTTCTTTCTTTATTTTACACCTTTTTACAATTTTCAAGTGTTATAACGGCGATTCTTCGATTCTTCGTTTCGTCAAAATTCAAGGAATATGTATGTAATTATTTATTTATTGAATCATTTTTATTATTAATTTGAAATATCAATATTGCTTGTTCATACGAAAATGTTAATTACACGTTTGTTCGATAGGTAATTAATTAATTAATTAATAAAATTTTTCTTTCTAAAAAAAAAAATATATATATCGTTTTTAAATTTTTTGTTTGAAAGATCGTTTAGATAAGAGGAATAAATATTTTGAACGTGAGTTAAAAATAAGAAGAAACAAGTGATACTTAATAGTAATAATAATAATTTTTAGATAAATATTTGAGAGAAAAGAGAAATAATATGAAAATTTAGAATTTCAAAATAGATTGAAGAAATGACAGTATTTGATCATATAAGTGGGCATGTATGAGTAGTCCTATATTTAAATAGCGTATAATTTCGATATCGTGTATAAACGTGTCATCAATTGACGATTATTATTTCAAGGAAGAGTTGATAAAGTTAACTTGCGTCACGAAATGAAACAATATTTTATTGTGTTTCACGCTTTTGTTTATTGTTGTACAATTTATTAGATTAAATTAGATTCTGGATATCAGAATAGAATCATTATATAAATTTTTTTTTTTTTTTTTCATTAATTCTATTTATAAACGTTCTAATATTTAATTTTAATAAATATAATTTTTATCCGTAAAATTTACTTTCATCGAAAAAAAAATCAAGTTAATAATACGTTTCTCAAAAGATAATTTGCAAAATAAGTCTCTTAATTTATTAAAAAAAAATTTACGAAAAAAAAAAAATTCTCGCGTAATAATCATAATTGGTGTATTATTGATATTATTTCGCAAGTATTGAATAAATGAAAAAAAAAAAAAAAAAAAAATGTTGTTTCAAAAGATTAAGTCCTATTTATTAGAGGATATATATTACTTTTCAAAATACATTTTGTGTTCGATATAATTTGATTGAATCGTGGAGTTGTGCGTTCCTGGAAAATGTTATCTTGGTAATTATCGTTGATTCTGATAATACATTTACATCGTAATTTTGCTTATCGATAACGTGAATTAAGGGGTTGTAAACACGTGAAGAAGTTTCTGGTAGAACCGATTATGGGGTTCCGGATAATATCAATTCGTCGATGACGTGATGTGAAATCGTTTCTCGAAATTGGCTTCGGCACTCGTGCCTTTTATTCGGAACGATGAATATTTATTGTAACTGCAAGTTTGTTAATCGTGACACGACAATTCTGGCGAAAGTGTTCCATTCGCTAGAATATTGCGTTGCAAGAAAAGCATTGATTTCCTTTTTTTTTTTATTTTTCTCGCGATATTTTGTGATACTTTTAAGAAATTGTCGAAACGTTTCAAAATTACCAGAGAAAAATAAATGTTACTAGGTCACTAAAACGTAATATTACTCACGTTCTAATAAAATGATTTAAATGTTTGCTCTACAAATTTAAATAAATATCGTAAAATTTATATTGTATATTTTTTATTATCATTCAAGATTTATTTTTAAATTGCAAACACGAGATTAATCCTGCTCGAAACAACGAACAAATATTTGGAAAAATCTATATATACGATTGATATAGAGAAATCAGTTGTGTTGATTTGGAGTAGAAGAGTAGGAGGTATCGTCAGTTGGTCCGCGCGCCAGTAGTGGGGAAAGAGATGGTGGGGAGTTGGAGAGGCCAAGAACAACTTCTAAATGGGGGCTTGGCCTTCTAGCGTTGCGACACGTTCGTGGAAAAGCGGCTCCGTGCCGCTTTACTAACACTCGGACATCTCTCTGCCACGTGGCCCATTAAAACACAATGGGAAAAGAAGGCAGCTGTGGTGCGCGCGAACGATGTCGAAAGATGCGTCTCTATTCCTGTCGGGATCACGAGAGAATGCAACACCTGGTCTTAAACTATGAATCGTAAAGTCGTAAGTGGAAGTTGCGCTTAACGTTTGGTCGATTATTTAAATAACCCCAGTGAGACACTGACAAGGTTAACGGACTCTTATGTCAACGAGTGACTCGCTCGATTAGTTGGTAGGGGGATATGCATGAGAAATCGATTTATATTCATTAGATAAATTCTTTGTGTTTTCTTGTTTCATATTTCATTATATCTCTTTGTTTTATTTGATTTTTTATTAGTATTACGTTCATATATATTGTTTCAATGGTAATAGAAAACGATAACTGTAGTTAAATAGGAATGATGATTGTAAATATTTGTTATTGATATTTTGCATATTAAATGATACAAAAATTATATTCGTGAAATGAAAAATTATTAATTAAATGGATTGGTTAATTTCATTCTTTATTTTAAAATCATATATAATGTAAATTAATAATCAAATTCATTAATATTTTTAATAATTTAATAAATGAAAATTTCAAAATAATTTTCATCTATTAATATTTAATCTATTAATATATAAAATATTATTAATTAATGTAATTAGTGAAATGGAAATAATTTGATTTAGTTGGAATTCCTTTATTTACTACGCATTGGACAATTATTCACTGTTTTTTACGTCTGTTGATCAACCTTGTAAGAACACGGGTTGAACGCGAAACATTTTATTCTTAGAACAAGTAGCAGCTGCCTTAGCATATAATTATTTTATAATTTGATTAAAATATTATATACTATTAAAATAAACAATAAAATTGAAAAAAATTATTTAATCATATGTTATCTTTTTTCTTTAATGGAAAAATTTAATTTTATTGTAATTGTATAATTGAAAATAAATAATCTCTTTAAATTAGCAATGACTTTTTGAAAATAAATTCAAATTTATTTAATTATGTAATAAAATTATGACTTTGAAAATAAGAATTTAAAAAATTCAAAATTTAATTAAAATAAAAATAAAATGATTTTAAAAAATAAAAAATCAAATTTTAAATTATTATATATGGATAAATATAATATTATATAAATTTAATATAATCAAGATTTTTGAAATGATTGCGTTGAAATGATGAGAAAAACGAAATTACAGAGGCATGTCAGTATTTTTAGTTGGAACAGATTTTCATGGAAAATAACTTACGCAATGCGGTCAATTACGTAAATTATACTAGTCACTTATAAATAATCATGTATAGTGAATGATTAAAATACAAAATATTATTGTATAGTATCATAAAAACTCATATTTTCATATTTTAAATTAATTTTTATTATTTATTAATTTTTATTATTAATTTTTATTATTCTTTCTTTAATATTTTTTTATTTATATTTTATATTTAT